TCCTTCGATTTACTTTATTATAACAGATTCTCTACGTTCGCTCGTTGAACGCTACGATACATACAATTCGAAAGGGTTATAGTATACCCGGAGTTCGCCGGACAAGGCTAAAAAGAGAAGGGAATATATTATTCAGAATGAACCCATCGAGGAGCTCCAGAGACAAACAGAGTAAAAGATGGAGAACCCTCCGATCAAACGAGCCACCAATTAAACCATTCCAGTCGCGTCCTCCCGCTCAAAGGACCAGACCGAAGACACGGAGGAGAACAGGCGGGGGGGAAAAAAAAACAAAGGAAGGACCGAAAGAAGCGGCTCGTGCACTCCGCTTGTTTTGCTTATCTCGGACAAATTTGCTGTCTTGTAAGCGACACCGAAGGGTCGCCTTGACAAACTGGGGTGCTCCCCGCCCGAGTAGGCCATGTAAGAACACACTTTTAGCCGTGTTACCGGAGGAACAACGTCCTGCGGAGCCGGAACGAGCCTTTCCGACCATAAACGTCTAACCAATCCTTTCATACTCATTATTTCCCTTCCCTCGATCCTTTCACGCCAGAAACCGCGAAACAAAGAGCCCCGATACTCAAAGACACCCGCCCGCAACGCGCGGAATTTATGTAACACGCGGCGGGTTATTAGAAAATTCGTCGTTTAAAACCATCGGGGATCATTTGACGCGACGGTAGTTTCCTCTAGAATGCCGTCCAGTTTTAATTGGTTTCCATTTGAGCCGGGAACACACGGAAATCCAGGAACCGCGGCACCGAAGTCTTCGATAATCGAGCCCTTTATTGGCGCAAGTTTCCGGGGCATAGAATCGTCCCGATAAATCACGCGGCCGTTCCCTTAACGCAGGAAGAATTCAATCGGCCATTTATTCCCCTCACCGTGGTAATTAATTATTAATTAGGATTACAGCCTCGACCCCGGCGGCCTCTCGACGACGTAACGACTTCCTTCTTCCCTGCCCCCCTCGGCGGAAAGATAAACGAGTCGGCTCTCTGGAAGACTGCTAAGTAACTCCATGAATTTTCCCGCACCCTCCCGGCCCGGCTCGTGCTTCGGGGGTGTAGCTTCTAATCATCCCTATCTCCTGGCCACACCCTCGTCTCGCAACCTGACCGCGACGAATCTTCTTCTTCCCTCCCACTTTTTCTCCCGCGCTCCTTCCTCGCTTTCCCTGTTCCACGCGTTTCACCGTCGACTCGTTCCTCAGCGAGCTAACTCGTCGACGACCTTCCAACCCCCCGCTAATGCGACGCTGAGCCTGATGTTAGCCGCGAGGGTGGGTGTGACGACGAGGCTTAACGAATCTCGAAATGCCTTCTGACACGTATGTCCGGCCGCGTGTCGCACGCGACCTCTCGCAAATCGATTTTTTTCCTCGCCGCTTTCTTCGCTGCTTTCCCTCTTTTGAATATGCATCGTGATATGATAACCTGGCCGATCCTTATGCAAATCTCCGCGTTTAAACATTACTTGTCCGGGAGAACTCTATTTCGCGAAACGACTCGCAATCGCGGGAATAAATCGTGGAAGTCACTAGGTCTCGTCGTCGACACTCGCGAGAGGTGTAACTTATTTTTTCGACGTTCCTGCGGATGAAAGGTGAAGCTTTCAAATGCGCGGAGATTTCTTTCCGGGGCGGTAATAAATGAAACAGGATTGAATCGCGGCGGTAAGAAAACCGCGCGCAGGAAGGGGACGGGCGCGAAACGCGGGGGGGTTGGAGCGGAAGTAAATCATGCAGCCCCCGTGACGACGTCGCGCGATGACAAACGAGTGCGTCGACGTCATCGCGCAAGAAACGCCGGCGACATCTGATAACGACCTTAATCGCATTAAGGGCCGACACCCCCGGGCACCCCCGACGCCAACGATCCTTCTCCGACCGGTGATCGTGTCCCTAATGTCCCGGGAAAAGCGTCGCCGCGATTGCGGATAAATCGCCCCTGACAAACTCTCCTAATATATTTCTTTGCCGTCTTCCGTTCCGCCCGCTCGAACAAATGAAGACGGGGCCACGTTACGAAATTACTGGTTCACTCCCGTCGTCCTGGAGGAACCTTCCTCTCGCCTGTCTTTCATCGACGAAACGACCCCTCCGCGATTTTTCCGTCGATTCTGAAGCAAAATTAACCCTTGACGCATTCACGTCGGGATATGTTTCTATGTGTTCAATCATAATAATAACAATATTTGCAAAACTAATGTTAAAGTACATTCTTTTGTCACGTTTATAGTTTTCTGACTACAGTTGCTAATTTTGAAGCAATACATATCAGCTGTATTTTACTTGCTGGGTCCAATGCCCCGTATATGACGCAAAAATCATATTTTTACTTTCATCAATGTTATTCTTATAATATTTATAATGGACACGTTAACTATTGTGCTACGTCACTTCCGTGAATTTCTTTCCGCTTATCTATGTTACAGTACTTTGAGTAAGTCAACTTGAAATACATCCGATCCGTTAACAGTTAACCCTTTGCGGAATGTCGACAATTCAGCGAGATGGTTCATATTTAGAAGACTAAGTCATAGGCGAATGATTAAATACTAGGACAGCAAGAGATTAGCATGCAGTTTCTGTTTCTACCATTACTTAAGCAATTAATATATAATTTAGCCTCATCCGTTGAAGGTTTCGTACATTTCGAAGAACCTTCGTCCACGAAGGGTAAATTCACCAATGAAGTTAATATTCCCCAAAGCAAGGGTCCAAAAATTCCGTTGATTACTCAAGATCTAAAAGCAGGAGCCCCAAACGTTCGTAATCGACGAAGAAAGGCCAACGGGACGAACGCAAGAAACCGCCCCAGTTCATTTCGCGTGTGTCGCAACGCCGTCGGAACGCCCTCGAAAAAAAAGAAGAAACAGAGGCTTTCGAAAAGGGGGTCGCGAGGGTAGTCACGTCGTCGGAGTAGCAGCGGAACCGCAACCCCTTCGCGGACAATGCGACATTTCATTATTAACCCTCGCCCAGGCGACGGGCGCGGCGGCGGTGCCTCGCCGGTGGCCGGAGCGCGGTTCAAATTAAACGCGCAAACATTTGGGTATTTTATTTCCGGCGGTGGCTCGCCGGACGGACAGACCGAGCGTTTTGTTACCTATTCGAGGGGAGGGAGGGGCGGGCCGCGCGCGCGGCGAGTTTAATTCGTTTCGTTATAAATACATCAGCGGCGGTCGGCCCGGAGCCGGGAAATTACCTTCGTCGGGCATAATGGTGGGGAAAAACAGGGAAAACCCGCAGGCCGCGGCTCCGCGGCTCGCGTGGAAATAACGGCCGGGGCCTGGATTGAATTTTGCGCCCGGCCGCGCGGACTGAATTATGAAAAATCGGCTCTCGATATTTCGAGGGGCCGCGCGGCGATCACCGTTCGTTAAAATTCATGCGCGCAATTTGGAGCGAATCGGCGCGGCGACTGCCTCCCCCCGCTCCCTGTTTGTTTCCTTGCCGGCATATTTACGGCTGAACCGGACCCCATTCCGCCGCGCGGAAGAACGGCTCTCGAAACCCGCGAATTATTGTTCGATTAAGCCGAAACCTATTGGCGAGCGTGTTCGAACGTTCGCCGTTTTGGTAATGATTAAACGTAATCGACGTGTTCGGGCAACGTTACGGTTCTCTCTTTGTACCTGTCGGATTTGTGGCTTCGGAGCGGGAAATTGTAAGGGTTGATCCCATTCGACTGGAAATCTAGGAATGCTCGAGTGTGTCCGACTGTTTTTCTGATCTTCTCTGGCTCGCAGCTTGGTCATTGAAAACGCTTGAGAATATTATAGAGTTTAGGCTCGGTATCTGTTAGTTCTTGACAACCGTTGCGTGCAAATAATAATCGATAACGAAATTGAGTGTCAGAAAGCAAAGATAAGGAGAGATTTCAGTAGCGCAAGTGTCGAGGAACGCGGAACGATACCTCGCGGCTTCGTTAGGACAGCAAGCAGGTTCTCCCGTTAAGTAAAAACGATCACGCAGCCGTTTAATCTTATCTCTCGCTATCAACCGCGCGACGCATCGTGTTATTACGTTAAATAGTCCCTGCCGGTGAAATCCCGGTGCAACGATCCTAATGACAGGATTAAAATACGCTCGATTTCAATTACAGTGCGTGCTGGGCATGGGCGTGAGAGTGCAGTTGCACACGAGTTGCACGCGACTGCACTTAGAAACCGCGGTAGACAGGTACAAGCCTGCAAGAAAGCGTTCTGTCCGCGAATCGGTAGCGTTTACACGTCTCCAAGATAAATTTCGCACAACGATCTCTGGCAATTAATATCTGCCACGGGAAATCATCGAATCTAGAGATTCAACAAATTATGAAACTTCGTCTATAACTAGACTAAATCAAGCCTAATACGTCGCAATCTTTTCGAAAAGGCGAACTAACTCTAAAAATGAAATTCGAACAATCGCAGTATATTAAGCTCGACTTGCTCCACTTACACGAAGTTTCATAATTTCTCGAATTTCCGGATTCGATAACTTCCATCGCGAGCTGCTCGGTTCCCCGATTTTTTTTGGCTAATCGATGGCTCGCCTGCAGTCGATATTGGAGTTACCGTATAATGGTAACTCGGTAATAATACGGGGACGGTAATATCGCGATAATGTGGGATACGGTTTCAATATCGAAGGATTATTCCGATGGAACGAGGGAGGGGCGGGGAGGCAAGACGCGTGGGAGGAGAAAATAAAAGGAAGTTAAGCGGCCGATTATCTGAAAGGTACCCTCGTTGCTTGGCCGCGTAACACGTCGTCGTACACGGGGCGATTTGTACTTAATTAAGATTACGCGTTGATGAGAACACACGCGGCACGCGAGCCAAGATACGCCAGGGAGATTAGAGAGGCGAGGCACGGCCGGGCATCGCCGACGATTCGAGCGCTCCGTTACGACGCGGTTATCCCGCGTCCCGTAAATTAAACCCTAATGCCGATTTCGCCTTCTTTCGCGTTCCCCGATGATTCCCCCTTATCTGATCGAGTTACTCACCATGCGCGTACGGACTCCGAGTAGCAGCCGGTTTCTGGATTCAACATTTTACGGTCACTCTCCGACCTGCAACAGATAATTCCTCTTCGTGTGGTGAAACTGTTTGTACGGGCACCATAGAACGAGACACGGACATGTAATTCTCGTCGCAATACGTTATCGATTATCTTCGATTAAGGGGAACACTTTCGTTTGAAAAAATGTGAGGTTAAATTATATTCATCGGTGAAGCTTTCTTTAATAGAATAAATTTACGATTGTTTATATACGTATAATAACTGGAAGCGTCGAATATAAAATTCTTATCGATAGACGGATACGGTGAATGATTAAATTACAGTTCCTTAGATCGATTAGCGGGCCGCTAAATGACCAAAAAACCCTCCTCGCCATCGCGTGCGAGGTGTTCCACGAGTCCTACGGGATCCCATGAAAAATACATTCGGCCGGGAAGGTAACTAGTGCGACAACCGGTCATTATCGGGCCCGACAAAGTCGAGTGGACGTTGAATGGGAGACAAAGACGATGACAAGGTGTAACGCGCGCGCCCGTCGCCGAGCGGGACGTGTGTCGATAAATTTATTTGCATCGTGGTCGTTTTAGAATAAAACGTGTCGCTGCTTTCGTCGGCCATTCACGCCGGACGATACATTATCCGTGGTGCGCGGGAAATTTATTTGACTCCCTTCCTCTCACC